CACACACACACACACACACACACACACACACACACACACACACACACACCGAAAAAAAGAAAAAGAAGAAAAAAAAAAAGATGGGTGAAAAAAATTGTCCTTGCAAAAAGGAATAGTGACCTGCCCTTTCTGGGGCACACATGTAATTGTTAATCAACAGCTCGTGAGGTCGAGTCCTGATGGAGGGAATCAGAGGGATAGAATAAGGCAAAGGGGATACCCCCTAAGGAAAAAGGTGTGCAAAAAAAAGCAAAAAAAAGATTGTGGTCACTTGGGGCGAGGTCCCACGAGCAAAGAGGATAATTGGATTGAACGCCTGAATCTGGACTTGTTTGTGGAAGGGTGCCGAATGTAGCGATTGAACTGCTTTTCTGCAACTCTGCTTAAAACACGTCCCGATTCAGGATATTTATCCAATCCTCTTTGCTAGTGGGACCTCGCCCTTGGTGGACACAGCATAGCCAACGGCTTTTTTTTCTTTTTTTCTTTTTTTTTCGTGGAGATGTTGAGAGATTCCATAATTTATTAAATAATAATAATAATAATAATAAAATTTTAAAAAATCCATAATTGACCGATTTTGAAAATTGAGGCCGGGAATCGCTCAGAAACAACCCAGACGCATGGCCCCTGCGCAAGGATGACACGCATAAATCGAGAAACAGAATGTAGCGCCGATTGAACTGCTTTCTGCAACTCTGCTTAAAACACGTCCAGATTCAGGATATTTACCCAACCCAGAGATAACAAGGCACTGGGACCATGGCCTAGCTAAGCCTTGGGTTTATCCAAATCTACCAACTTCTGTCCTACAACTTAGGCAAGTGGTTTTCTTTCTTTTTCTTTTTTTTTTTTTTCTTTTTCTTTTTTTTTCCCTAACCTGCTCAATTCTCTTCGTTTACCTCTTCCAGTAGATAATACTAGTACTAGATCATGTACTTTATTCCTCTTGGGGTGAGTATATTGGGGATGGTTTTTCCCCCTACCTACGTAAGGCCCAAGTGTCAATTGTCGAAGCTCCCTCATTCGTGGCCATTCATCTTCGTAATCTGTGGGCAGAGATGTGGAAGTGGTGTATTATAGCCGTATCTAGACTAGAAGTTGCCCAGGTGCAAAACCTGCACCTTGACCATGTGCGTGCCCAGGTGCAGTCTTATATGACTAGTTCTTGTTCTTACACTTCCAATCCTGTCAGCGATCAGTCTGTAACCCCCCCCCCCCTCCCTTAAAAGAAAATTAAAAAAAAAAAAAAAAAAAAAAGAAGGGCTCAGTTTGCCTTGTCTCATTCTCCCCCTCCTTGATCCTCTTTGCAATGGTCCCATTTCCTGGCCCCAGTCCCAGTCCCAGTCCCAGTCTCAGTTGTTGCCCAGTTGCACTAGCAGCAGGGTTGTCAGCCGTCTAGATGATACGTCTGGTCGGTTGGTGCGTCCGGACAGTTGGCAATGAATTTGATCACATTTGAGCGTAATATCCTGATGCTACCTCTTCCCCCACACACGATGCAACCTCGATCTTTCGTGTATAGATGCGTTCTTTCCGGTCTGATATGCTCATCATGAGGAGAGTGTTGTGTCATGCTTGGCTGAAGAAGCCATGAAGGCATGACGATGTGAAGGTATGTGCACATCCGTGAACTGCAAGACGGTAGTGGATTTCACCCTGTGGGCTGAATTTCTCTATTTATTATTTAATTAATAGTCAGCTGCAGCATATGATCCATAATAGCCTCACATATAAAGCCGATTGATTGATTGATTGATTGATTGATTGATTGATTGATTGATTGATTGATTGATTGATTGATTGATTGATTGACTGGTCGATTATGAAGATTTGACTGGATTCTCAAACAGACAGATTGGCTGTGGCACTATCTAGCTTATGTGGGTTCAGCTATTGCCTTCCCCCCAAACACAGCACAAAAGGCCCTTGATGACTGTAGCAGTGAGCCAGACAGCTAGCGTCTATAATTTCATGATGATCAGTAGGGTGTGAGGAAAATAAAAGAAAAAAATGGTGTGGGACCTGTGGGGTGTACTGTGTTTGAGGGGGGAGTGTTCTGCGTTTTTTGATTCGGTACGTGTGTAGGTACTGGCTATTTTAAGTTCTTTTATCTTAATAAGTTGTGGGAAATATGTGAAAACATATCCTAGGACAGCACAGCCGTCTCGTCATAAAACTCAAGGTTTATCCGCTGTGCTGATCTGTATGCTCCTCGCTCCTCGCTGCCCCTATTTTCCACGTATTTTTCAATTTTTTCTTTTTTGCTTATTTCTGCCGTGGGCTGCCTTTCCAGGACCTTTCCTAAAAGCCTAGTAAAAAGGTGATTTTTATATATTTTTCGTTTTTTTTATGCTATATTCTTCTCTCAAATCTAAGATGATGAAAGATTAGAAGGGCGATTTCCAACACTGTTACCATTGCCAACGAAAAACATAAGTTTTTTGGTTATTGTTGCAGAAATATATTGCCTTGGCCCTTGGGCACTGGGCCCCCACTGCACTGGGGCTCGCTGCACTGGGGGGCCCACTGCAAAAAAAAAGAAAAAAAAAAAAAAGAAAAAGGAAAATTGTGAAAATATGGTTTGGGAAAATTAACCGTCCTAGAGCTAACGGTCTCGTTGCAGACCATCTAGAAAAAAATATAGGTAACTCTAGGACAGTTAATTTTCCCAAACCGTATTTTTACTATTTTACTATTTTAGTATTAAAATTTTCCTTTTTCTGTTTCTTTTCTGCCAACCAGCTGAAGTTTCTTTTGTCCCCTGGGGCCAAGTCCCATTAGCAGCGTTTTCCTCAACCCCTGAATCTAGACGTGTTTGTGGCTATCTGTTTGAGGAAACTCAACGCGATTAGGCACATCTCCACAAACACGTCCAGGTTCGGTTGTTGCGGAAACTCAACATTGCTAGTGGAACTTGGCCCCTGGATGCTGCTGGGTAATATAAGCAACATCCTTGGTTTTTTTTTTTTTCCCGGAGTACTCGCAGTCTTGCGGACCCCCGCTGTACCCCCCTTTGGGTCCCGTAGGCCAAGACAGCAGGGCAGTTCCTTGTTCAATGGAAAGAGCCTTGTTTGTCTCAGCAAGAACTCGTGGCTTAAAGTTGAAAAGCCACCAGTACGTTCCCAAGTCTCTTTATCGGGGGCTAGGTCCCACTTACACGAATTAAGCGATATTGACCGTAGATAGCCAAGATCAACGGCCAGAATCTCTTAATCCGTGCAAGTGGGACCTTGCCCCCGGGCTCGGAGGCTGGAAACGCCCTGTGCGCCCCGAAACTGAAAAAAAGAAGTTCAATGAACCAACATTGGCCTCCTTTTGCGTGGCGGCGGCAGCCATTTTGCTCCGGCAGATGATCCCTGGAAGCTGCGGCGTGCATGGGGCCGCGTGGGAGAAAAATGGCTGGGACACGTACTGGTGCTCTAGGCCTGAACATAGCACCTGGTCCAGTCCTGCACCCTGGGGCCAAGTCCCACTAGCAGCGTTGAGCTACCTCAACGCCTGAATCTGGACGCTTTTGCGGAGATGTGCAGAAATGGTGTCGAGTTTCCTGGACTGCATGTCTCCACAAACACGTCCAGATTCAGGCGTTGAGGTAGCTCAAGGCTGCTAGTGGGACTTGGCCCCTGCTTGTAGACTAAATGGTCCGCACACTGCAACTGACGACAAAGTCGGAGAAACAGGTGACTTGAGGTAAGAGTTCAGACTTTTTGAGGTACAGTATATGTTCTATTTGACGATATATATAATATATATAAATCCCGAGTTCCAATCTTGGTCCCAATCCGAGTTCCGGTCCCAGTGCCGAGTTCCAGTCCCAGTCCCGAGTTCCAATCCTCAGCCCCAGTTCTCAGCCCAATCCCAGTGTCATTGTTAGCCTCAGCTGGATGTACCATATTCACGAATGCAGCAATGCCTAGGTAGAGTACCTCTCTTTTTCTTTTTCTTTCTTTTCTTTTTTTTCCCCTGAAAGGTAGAGTGCCTCTCTCATTAGGTAGAGTGGCTTTCGCTTGTATAGCGCTTACAGATGGCTAGGTTGAGGGAAAGCAAACTTCAAGAGAAGCCATAGCCAACTTGAGGGATAGAAGCCATAGCCAACTTGAGGGATAGAAGCCATAGCCAACTTGAGGGAGAGAAGCCATAGCCAACTCCAGAGTGAGGTTGAGAGGGAGAGGACTTGAGGGAGAGAAGCCATAGCCAAGTCATGAGTGAGGTTGTGAGGGAGAGGAAACGTGAGGGAGAGAAGCCATAGCCAAGTCATGAGTGAGGTTGTGAGGGAGAGGAAACGTGAGGGAGAGAAGCCATAGCCAAGTCCATAGTGAAGTTGTGAGGGAGAGGAAACTTGAGGGAGAGAAGCCATAGCTGGTCCTTAAAGACAATCCTTTGTAATTTAGTTAATTGAAAGATAGTCTTTGAGTTACGTTTGACCCGTGCTTTGATATGTGGGCATCATCTGGTCTATGCGTGGATTGAGAGAGTGTGGTGGATGGTCGGTCCCAAAGCTACTACATATATGTATGCTCACCTCAGGGTATCAGTTGTCGGGCAGTCATTGATGCTTAACCCCAACCGGGGTTAACTTAAAGGTGGATTATGAGTCTCAGCGTAATCAGTTAGGGGATTCTGCAGACTGTTGAGGGTTCAGCCTCCTCCTGATGAGTAAGTTGGTGACACTCCAACGAAACAGTTTGTCACAGCCCCTCCCTCGTTTCTTGTCCTCTTCTCCCTCCCTCTCTTCCCCTACGCTTTGCCGTCGGCAGTTCTGTTTGACGATGTAAATGGGGAGAACTCAGAGGAAGACATCTCCATCCCCCCCCCCGTTCAGTTGGATTTTTTCAATTTTTTTGTACAAAGCAATCTTTTTTTTTTTTTTTTTTGAAACAAATAAGTTGGACTGAACCTAAATTTGGTATGTATCATTTAAAAATGTCTTACATGTGGAGCTGCATCGGATGGCGGTGCTTGTGACACTTTTGGCATGGCATTGCATGTATGTATTCACAGCTGTGCACACCGGGACTTGGTGCGATACTGGACGGACAAGGTGGCTGCGTCTTTCGAGTTTGGGCACCGAACGCGGAGGCAGCGTTCATTGCACTGCATGATGAAGCAAGCAGCGTCGATGGTCAGGAAGGGACGGTCAAGATGATTGCAATGGAGAAGCAAGGGGCCTTTTGGGCGCAAAGGGTGCGCAATGTCAGAGCGGTAAGTCGGAACGATGAGATCATCATGACCATTTTTTTCTGGCTCCTAGGGAAGGACTTCTGTTTGTGTGTGTGTGTGTGTGTGTGTGTGTGTGTCTGTGTGTGTGTGTGTGTGTGTTGTGTGTGTGTTGTGTGTGTGTGTGTGTGTGTGTGTGTGTGTGTNTGTGTGTTGTGTGTGTGTGTGTGTGTGTGTGTGTGTGTGTGTGTGTGTGTTCTTTCTTTCTTTTCTTTCTTTCTTTCTTTCTTTCTTTCTTTCTTTCTTTTCTTTCTTTCTTTCTTTCTTTCTTTCTTTCTTCTTCTCAAGAAAGTAGGATTCAGTTGCAGGCAGGCAGTAGTCTGCACCTCTTGTTCTGAAGTTTTGATATGCATTGGCACAGTTTTTGGTGTAGATTACCTTTTTTTTGGTGTAAATTATCTCTTATCTTTGCCTTTTGTTTTTCAGAAAAGGTAAAAAAGAAAAAAAATGAAAAAAATACGTGTTTCAGTTTTCATGTATTCAGTATCGGGTCACAACGCATCTGCTGAGTGACTGATGTGGATGATATAACAGATCATGAGGCATTGAGGTCGGTCGAATCCTTGAGGATAGAGTTGTGGTATAGGTAGGGACTGGCCATTGATTTTGGTCCCCCTCACTTTCTCAGATCCTTCATTTCTGGCCATTGTTTTTTGTTATGTAAGGGTCAGAATTTCAGAAACGAGGACTCTGGTTATATACTAATAATACTATACTATGCACTGTATACTATATATACTGACGATATATAGATATACCGATTGAATGAATGAGATATTAAACCATAAAGCTCTTCGAGTCTTTCAGACTCTTTTTGCCTTTTTCTGTTTTTTTTTTTTTTTCCGTTGTTTTTGTCCTTTCTTTGGCTTTTTCAGGGTTTCTCTTCTTTCGTTTCCCTCTCAAGCTCTCCACTTCCTGTGCCTCTCTTTGGAACTCCCCTGAATGGTGGCCATCCAATCTGGGAGAAGGGCTATAAATCAACTGCTGATGACTCAGCTGTGTGGACATTGTGACTTCGCCACGAGTGGTGGATGCAAATTGCAAATGCCATTTTTACCATTTAAAAAAAAACAAAAAAATGGAAATTGCGGAAGGACGGAAAGGGAGGGGAGTTTGGTGAGGTGAGAGTAATGTCTTACTTGGTGGTGGTGATTGGGTGGCATGTTCTTTGTTCTTCAGGGTGACAAGTACCACTATGTGTTCAGACATCAGGGGGTCGACTACCACCGTCGTGATGCTCGGGCTCGGCATACCGATTTCAACAGTGATGCATGCATCATAACTGACCCCACATATGAGTGGTATCCGTTCCAGACTCCGGCCTTCGAGGAGATGATCATCTATCAGCTACATGTGGGCGCTTTCACAGGGTAAATATAATTAAACCCACTCCCCCTACTTCCTTTGTGCTTCCTTCCTCCCTGTTTCTCAGTATATCCCATGCCTCCCTTCTACTGCACAGTCTGTTGGTTGTCTCCCTCCTCAGTCTTTCTCTGCGTTTCTCTCTCTCTCTCTCTCTCTCTCTCTCTCTCTCTCTCTCTCTCTCTCTCTCTCTCTCTCTCTCTCTCTCTCTCTCTCT